TAGTTGGACCAAAAAGATTGATGACACTAAAATCACCAACAGAATGTTCATGGAAATGGATTCAACAAACAACCTAGCACGAAGAAAAAAAAATCAGTTCATCATGGATGAACAGACATGCGCTCAAGCAACTTGCTGAACCATTCAGATTCCTGACACCACAACTGATGATTCACATACAAATAACATGGTCAATCGCTCAATCTGAATCACCTAACAGATGAAGATTAATATTTATGACATCTCACATCGACAGATTGACTATCCATAATTTGCCAGGAAGATACTAACGGGGGAGGATCAAGTGGAAAGTAGCCCAGATTTTTGGACCTGTTTGTTAGCAGCTTAATGGGACTCACATCTTATTCGGTTAGCTATACATGACTGTTTGGTAGTGGTTGAATGATATAGAAAGTGACTTATTAAGTAAGCTTCTAGGGCTTTATGCAGAAAGCCAAGTTTTTTTCCAAACATGTCCCTCCAAATTAAAGAACTCACTACTTCCATCTATGAAAAAAACTTCCCAATATATAGACAGATTACTCCACATAGATAGCTTTATTCATACAAGACTTAATGGAAAACCAACCAAACATATAAACTGAAACCATATATTAAGAATATATGCCTTTTTTTACCTCCTGCTTCCAGTCAAGACCTATCATTGCAATGGTCCCCCACCTTAAGTACACAAGGCAAGGCCTCAAGTATTTGCTGCAGGGTGACCCTCCAGAAGCAAAGTAAAGAATCAGTTACTCCCTTACCCTCCCAGCGAATTGCTGTCAAGTCAAACCTACTTCTGTAAGTACAATAAATGTCCTCCCTGCTAAAATTCATTCACAAAAATATTCCTTTACAGTAGCTTATGTACGTACTTCCGTGGCATCTCGAGCAACACCTGTTCCTAGGCCCCCCCCTCCGTTAATTCTTAATCAGCCCTCAATCATAATTGTGTATAGCCCATTAGTATTACCAACAGCCCAACATCACCCCTACGCCCACCTCGAATTAACCTTAATACACCTCCAGGTTGGGTTCCGCCGTTCCGGTGAGAATGGAAGTTATGTTGAGAAGAGTAAGAAGGGATCTCCACCCTTGGATCAATCCTAATTGAAGATCAACACAAATGAGATGCAGTGGATTAATTCCCGTATCAAGCTCAATTCAACGGGTGAGGGTGAGGGTGGAGGTGGGGTGAGATTAAAAGTGATCAAGGTCCAGATCCCTTCTTACACTTCTCATCCTAACTCCTATTCTTACACGATCCTTTGCCATACACCTCAGTTCTATATTCAAGATATACAATGGTATCGCATATGAACAGTGATGGCATTGTGTATTTGTTATGCGATGTTTTTAGTATATCGGGTGCAAACCAAATTAGGCTTGCCTTCCAACCTCAGCTGATTCTGAACCCTAAGCACAATAATGTAATCGACTGTGTCTAAACTAAAATGTGCCATTCTATTGAGCATGTTGATGAATGCTCAACAACAATTCTTTGGCTTATAGGGAATGATTCAAAGAAAAAAAGGCATATCTTTAAAGAACATATCAAATAAATAGTCAGATATATGTGGATAGCCGTTTCTGGGTGAGAGTAGGGATCAGCAATGGGAAGTTTAGGAGGCTTAATCAAGCATTATTTTTTCCCTTTGCATTTAATAACACAGACTAAGGGGTTGTTTGGCAAATGCCGAATGATTTGGTGCAGAATCATTAAGTAATCAGAATGATTAAGACCAAGAACAACGAAAGCTTGGGAAGGCTTTACCCACTTCTTATGACTAGAAATGTTAAATAAAAGTAATTTGAATTAAACTGCAAGCCATGACCAACAAGAGTTTGACCAAGCTCAAAAACTTTAACAGGGAAATGAACTGAGGTAGCAAAATATGAAACTGTCATAAGAAACGGTCGTGGAATCAATTTTATCCGCTGTTATGCCATAAATATGCATGCCTGTACTACCTCTCCTAGCAAGCCATGGAAAAAAAAAAGTGGCAACACCGAGCTCACATCCACGAACAGATCCACAGTTATATCAGCCAAGCAAATGTAAATAAATACAGCAGTAGGTTTTAACTTCGCACCACATTGTATTCCTGGATCATGCGTTTTCAAGCAATCCTCCCTCCATTTAAAGAAAAAGAGGAGCTACATTTTGAATTTTTTTTGCCTCAAACTCGCTCTTCATATACAATTTCCAACATTGAATTTGTTACTAATTAGCACCAGCATTTTGCAGTGTAAGATACTTGTCATAAGTTCTAGCATATTTTAGCAAATTACTCCCAAAAACTTACTCATTGATTTTGCAAGCAGATGATGTAGTTCTTTTTCTAACCAAGGGGTCAATCCAATCAAACCCTTAAGCTTCAATAGAGAGAGTAAAGTGAAAGAGGCACCTGTTAAATGCAAGGGACCAGCACAGTGAAAGCATCGTGGAAGTATATATCAAGCTGAGGTTGTCAAGCCTAATGGACCAGTGAATTCATATATAGCCACCTTCTAAATGCATCTACGATATATTAATTTGCAAGCATGAAGCATCGACCATAAAACATAGAACCCAACTAAATATCTGACATGCAAGAGTATTATGTGCCTACTAGGATGTGATTGCAACTTACACAAATTCAATCAAACACTTGAGCTTCAAGAGAGAGAGTAAAGGTAATTAGGAAATCAACCAAAAACCCCTAAATTAAAATAACACTAGGGGAGTTATTCTACTCTACCACTTCCTCCACCGTAGATGATGCTTATGTACCGCTCTAGAACAAACACAAAATCAGGCTATGATTCGCATCAAGCATCTACGAACACTTGCGATGAGAAATGATGAATGTTCCAGTGCAAATGTGCAACTGATAGGGGAGTTATTCGTATACGAAAGTGTAATTGATGTGAGTTGGTCGCCTCTATCCATGAAACGATACAGAAAAGATGTGATTATCTGTATGAAAGGGTTCATCTCAATTAATGCATGTGTGAAGTGCATGGATTTCGAGGATGAAGGAAATTAGGGTTCATCTCGATGAATGCATATGTAAATCATTGCAACTTACAGAAATTCAACCACTATAGGCGTCGTCTCCCCTGCAATTATAGAAGAAACGTAGATTTTAGCAATTAATTCAGAAAGAAATTGAAGGAAATTAGGGATGAATGCAGAGATTCCATCAGACATACCTGAATATATATATTTCTGAGTTCCATTAGCAGAAGAAGAGATGAAGACCTCTCAACAATCAGAATTTTGTAATTTAATTTCATGAATAATACAACAATACTCAATGACATACACAAATTCAATAGTAGAAACGAGAAGCAATCGTGTTTATACCAGATCGATTGATAAGGATCCCTCAGTCCTCCTTCATCCTCAAAATTCATGCACATCATACATGCATTCATCGAGATGAAGCCTTTCATACAAATAATCACCGTCGTTTCTGTAAGAAAATTTATCATTTCCAGAGAATCGCAAGTGTTTGTAGGTGCTTCATAGAATCAATGCTTGATTTTGTGATTGTTTTAGTGTGGTACAGGACAACCGTCTACGGTTGAGGAAGCGGTGGAGGAGAAGAGGAATTCAACTGATACCATCAAACGACCACCGTGGGATTGGAGCCAAAATCTGGGACGGGTCGCCCAAAAAATGTCCAATATAAGAAAGGATCAGTTTGGCGCTAAGTTATCGTCCCCAATATTTCGAACAAATCTATAAATTATTTTTAATCGGTAATTTATATTTAAAAAAATAATCAACTTTAACTTGATTCTTATTTTGGATAGCATAATTTCAAAACAATTCAACCCTAAAAACCCTGTCCCTATTTTTTTGGCTCGCTAAAAATGTCTAGCCCAAGATAAATGAAACATATCTTCTGCAATTCTACAAAAGTGGTCCTTATTTCTAATTGTATGAAATCACTACTCGTATTTAATGCACCAAAGTATCGAACATATAAACTTTTAAATTGATATTTATGCCGGTATCCATATTAAAAGTTCGTTATCTCAAACATTTACCTAGGGGTGAGCAGCGGAACTGGGTAACCGACTATGGAATCGGAACCGCCATGAAACTGCCGGTTCCGGAACCGGAACCGATATGAGTGGTTCTGGTTCCGGTTCCTAAAATACGGAACCGATTGAGAATGGTTCCAGTTTCGGTTCTCAATTTTTCAGAACCGTTACCCGTCGGGTACCCGGTATTTTTCAAATAAAAAAATTATTATTATTTTTAATACCAAATTTATATTAGGTTTACATCTTGAAAGCACGTCGTCATTTTCATTCTTCATCTAAATTCTCCATATAAAATTATTCGTATTTTTTCAAATTGTGTATTCACTTGGATTCATAGTATGTAATCGTTAAACTTTGAACATTTACCATTATAATATGTAATCGTTAAACTTTGAATATTTTATATTAGTCTATTATAGTTTGTAATCGTTAAACAATATTTGTAACAATTATTTTGTATAATTTGTATTATTGCTTATTTATTTAGTGTTTTGGCAATGTTTTATTTTTTTATTTCTAAACAATAAAATTTTAATATTTTAGAAAGCGGGTACCCGGAACCGGAACCGGTTCCCGGCGGTTCCGGTTCCGGTTCCAAAAATTTAAGAACCGCTCTAACCGGTTCCGGTTCCAATATCTCAAGAACCGCCGGTTTCGGTTCCGGTTCCTGTCAAAAAGGGCGGATACCCACCTATGCTCACCCCTACATTTACCTGGTATACGTTCTTACCGGTAAAAATTAATTCTACAAGATTAAATCCATCAAAACAGTATCATATGCAAAAATTTATCGTCAATCTCACTTGCTGGATAAGATTCTTTATCTCTATCATCACTCTTACCATATAAGATTCTAATCTTTATCATATTCACCAATTAAGGTTAATGACCCAGGAAGCGTAAGGAACATTTACCCAAGATAAACACTCAACAGTAACAGTCGATGCTTTTACCACTCTCACTCACAGAATAAGACACTTTATAACAAAATACAAAAACATAACTCGAATCATAAATAGTAAACAAGAATGTCAAAATTACCAGCATCGTCTGCAAGTTCATCTAACCATAAAACATAAAACAGTAGCAGCAGTACCACACCAACAAAACATTATAAAACGAAAATATGGAAAAACATAAACCCGGAGAACACTTAAACCGCTCCAATCCAACGACTTGACGATTATCGCTCACCCGCAAAAACCAGTTTTTGCCGCTTACAGCTTGTCCTCGAACTCCGAGAGCGGTGTCATCTGCTCCTTCAAACCCTTTCGCTTACGGATTTGGGACACGAGCGTGCTCGCCTGAGACCCGGCCTCCAACGGATCGGCGGACATCATGTCCCAATGATCAAACACACATTGCGGGAAAGCTTGACCGGAAGTCGAAGCTCTCAATGCACCAGAAAATCCAAACGATTCCACGACCGGCAGATATGCTTTGATGTTGTACAGTGGTGTACCGGGCCTCTGCATTTCCTCGAACACGTGACCACGCCTTTGATTCAGGACACTGTAGATTCCACCGAGAGCTTGCTCGGGTGCCTGAATCTCCACCAAGTACACCGGCTCGAGGAGGCGGGGCTTGGCAGTGAGTTGGGAGGCGTAGATGACCCTCCTGGCGGTCGGGATAACTTGGCCACCACCTCTGTGAATAGCATCAGCATGGAGAACAACGTCGCACACTTCGAAGCAAATACCCCTCATGTTTTCTTCGGCTAAAGCACCTTCTTTTGAAGCCCATTGGAACCCAGCAACGACAGAATCCTTGATTTCATTCAAATACTGGACTCCCTTACACATATCGACAACCATGTTGGGTCCGGTTGTTTCGGGACCGAAACACCAGATCTTCTTGGCGAGATCCTTGTCCCAACCGAATTCCTCAGCCAAGATCTTACCACGAACCTTGGGGTCATCACGAGGACCAATCCTGCCATCATCGATGGCCTCGGCAAGTCCTTCCTCCATGGGCCTAGCTTCCATATAGAGACGGTTATGTTTGTTGGGGGACTTGCTCATCACGGTGCGGGACGACTTCTCAAGAACGGTTTCACGGAAAGACACGACTGGGTCAGAAACAACGATTTCGGCACCGCCCATGAAATCGTCCTGCAAGTCCTTCAAACAGATTTCGAGATGAAGCTCTCCAGCACCAGCGATGATGTGTTCACCAGACTCCTCGATGGTACAAACAACCATAGGATCGGACTTGGCCAAACGCTTCAAACCTTCAACAAGCTTAGGGAGATCAGATGCAACCTTGCACTGAACCGCAACACGCACAACCGGTGAGACAGAAAACTTCATGGCACGGATCGGATGGGCATCGGCCTCTTTCTCGTTTGTCAAAGTTGCATTCTTGGTGATGAACTGATCCAAACCGACCAACGCAACAGTGTTACCACAGGGGACGTCCTCCACGGTTTCTTGCTTCTTTCCCATCCAGATAACGGTTCTCTGAACACTCTTCACATACAGATCCTTCTTTTCTCCAGGTACATAGTTTGGACCCATGATCCTAACCTTCAATCCCGTGGAAACCTTTCCAGCAAAAACACGCCCAAATGCAAAGAAACGGCCCTTGTCGGAAGCGGGAATCATCTTAGAAACATAAAGCATAAGAGGACCATCGGGGTCACAGTTTCTAATGGCATTAGCATAACAATCATCCAACGGACCCTCATACAAATTCTCAACACGGTATCTTTGGGCCGTGTGAGGGGAAGGCAGATGAAAGATCATCATTTCAAGTAGAGCTGTAGCAGCAGGAAGCCATGTCTGCATAACACGCTTCATCAACGCCTTACCCATCAACTCTTTCTCGTCAGATTTCATGGTCACACCAAGCTTTGTCAACATAGGCCACAACAGATCCTTCTGGTCATTCATGCAAGTGTTGATGATCTGCTTAATGGGTTCGTAACAGAATTGAACAAACCCACGCTTGCACGACGGTGAACCCGAGTTCTTGGTGGTCCACTTCTTAGTTTTGGGGTCGAAAAAGTTTTCTCCCCAAAGCCTTTCCATCATTTTCGACTCGTCAACTCCAAACTTAGAAGCATACATCTTTGCAAAGTTGGTTAGGGTAAAAGCCCAACCGTGAAGCCCGGCAGAGAAAGCAACGGTACCTTTCTCGGGGTAAACCATAACATCACCAAGAAGTGGGTCCTCGTATGTGGCCATGATGACATTAGCGTTTTCGATAACCCTTTGGAACGTTTGGTATGCTTCTTCTCCGTCAACTTGAAGCTCAAGGAAACACCTGTCCATCTTGTTGACAGTCAAAACAGGACGGATCCTTTCTCCAAGGGCTTGTCGAAGAACAGTTTCTGTCTGAACGCAAACTCCTTCGATACAATCGACCACAACCAAAGCACCATCAGTGATACGTAGGGCAGCAGTGACCTCAGAAGAAAAGTCGACGTGTCCAGGTGAATCAATAAGATTGATCAGGTACTCATTCCCATTTCGCTCTCCTGTGAAGCTCTTGAGAGCTGCATCGGTCATCTCATAGTAAAGTGAGATACCAGTGGACTTGATGGTGATACCACGTTCCGCTTCATCAGCACGGGTATCAGTCATACGAACATCACCAGCAACTTCTTGGGCAATAATACCAGCAGCAGCGACAAGAGAATCAGTCAAGGTAGATTTCCCTATAAAACCGAGGGTAAAAAATTGTTAGCAATAATTAAAATAAAATCAAACATTAGGAACACAAGTGAGAAATAACGAAAAATATAAACATGGATGAGCATAGTCCATGCACCATAATTTTGTAGTAGAAAAAATTTGAATGTTAAAACAAGAAAAGATGCACAAACCAGAAAAACAGTGAACAAGTTAGAACTGCTTTCAACCATCAAGCATTTTTACTAGTAAACATTAAGCTGGGGTTTATTACCACAGTACTAACTAAAAATATAAACCAAACCAGTATATCCCACCCAGAGGCGGGGTCAGGATGGGTGGGATGTAGGCAGACCGCCGACTTGTGCATGACTATAAAATTATGAATGCTTCAAAAACAAAACAGATTGATAAATCAACAACAATATAATTAAAAATATATATTTTTCAGTACCGTGGTCAACATGAGCAATAACAGACATATTACGAATGTTATGCTTGTAGTCCATAATCCTACGAAGCTCTTCAGCGGTAAACTTCACCTGTTTTGGATCAACAAAAATTGATAACATAAGCTTCCTTGGTAAGACAATAATAAAAGCCAAAAAATGAAGATCAAGTAAAATTACCATTTTGCCTAGTTTTAGGTATCTCCAACAAAAATGTAATTAATATGTGTGCCTACAAAAATCCTGTCAAAAAAGAGCAAACAGTAAATTAGTTAGCATATGGCATTATATTGTGGCTATAATAGCACAAAGAATTGTGGCTAATGGAACTTCAAATATATCTGAAGATAACCTAATTAACACCAAAAACTGCAGCAAGAACAGTTAATAAGCTAACATGTCACAACCGTTTTAGTTGTAACCATGTGGAACAACAATCGGACATCATGCATTCAATCTTCTACTAGAAAAAAATTGTGAACACAATTACAAACATGTCAATCACTAACAGTTTAACCAAGCCGAAAACAATATCCATCCACAACCCATAAAAACAAACCAAATCCATAATTTGAATAGTCAAAAATGCAAAAAATCTTCCACATCACAGAAAGATATAAATGATTATTGAAAGCATAAATCCTTTCTACCATAAATCCTTTCTACCTTGTTGATTGCATACTTCAAATATCATATTTACTGCCCATGAAACTTCCAACAGTTCGTGACAAACTAGTTCAATAATTTGTAAAAAGAAATTGATTTGCAAGATGCAATTGTTTTGTCTAACGGTGAAAAAGTTAATTAAATTAAGCATAGAAGTCAATCTAGCAATTTATAGAAATTAGAGATAACGGTATCTATGTTGAAGCAAAAATTGACGGTTTTTAAGAGATTCAAGCTACAAAACTCTGATGGAGAAATATTTGTATCTAGATTGAAGCAAAATTTGATTGTTTTTAAAAGATTCAAGCTACAAAACTCTGATGGAGAAATTTAATGGCATCCTTTAAGACTATCAGTAGACAGACACAAAAGTAAGCCTCATTCTGTCATCACAGGATTCGTAATAGCCTGCTCCATATTCAACGACACCAAAATTTCTTATTATCAAAACATAATCGTTCCAATCTTCAAATACGTTTATCCAAGATATCATATAGACCAGGATTGAATCAGACACATGTCCAAATCGATCCAAAAACTTAAACAAGTTCGATTTGATATAAATCACATAACAATTGACCAATAAAACGCATCAGACAATAACACGAAATACACAAACAATCATTCATGACAAGAGTGGATATTTTCCATCTAGCATAAAAAAAAACAAATCAAACGATGAAAATCACCGATTATAATGAAGATCGAGCACAGATCAGACACATGAAAATGAAATAATCATCGAGAAATGGCTTTGATAAAGGTTTACCTCCAAGAAAACAAGAGGAAGCGGCGGAGAAGGGAGACGAACTCTCAGTGACCCTTAGCTTTGGTCTACACGAGAGATATAATGTGAGCGGCGGATGCTGCTCTAAACCCTAATATATCGCTACCCTCTTTGGACTTTTGGTAAATTGCATATATGGTCCTGTGGTTTTCTGAATTTTCTTGGTTTTGATCCTTACAATTTATCTTATTACAAAACAAAACCTCAAGGTATTATTATTTGCTTGATCTGGTCCCTAACAATAACGGATTTAACTTTCAGTCGTTAAGTCTTGGCGTGTAAATGGTTCGATTTTTTAACGAGCTACTCAAGCTCAAGCTCAATAATTCTAGAGTTTGATTGATTCGAACAAAAATAAAACTCATTTTAAATTAAGGAGTCAAGCTTCATAACACTAATGTTCAATTCAGCTCGTCAAAAAACTCGATTAAATTTTTTGAGTCGAGTCGAGTCATTCAAGCATGCATTTTTTTGAACCAAACATGTTCATGTATTTATAAATAATACAATATAAATATTATCGAACTCAAACCAATGAAAGAGTTATTCGGTCACAATGTTGAACCCTTATACGAGCATTGAGCTCGATAATTCAAAAAATATTGGAGCTCGAGCACTGTTTTAAAAAAGTTATTTGAGATCAATCTTGGTATTCTTTTCTCGATCCGAATTTGAATAATCTACTACTTGACTCGACTCGTTTACACCCCTAGTTAAGTCTCCTTACACGAGAACAATAAGATCATTTTGCCTTTGAAATGTGACATAGCAACGATATGACGCTGAAATGGATCCTAATATATTTTAATTATTTTTTGTATCACCATCCATGGTTAGGGATGGTGATTTGTCCCTACCCGGTGGGGGAACCCGGCTCACCCGACCCCGAACGGGGACGAGGATTCCCCACTAAAACTAGTATTGGGACCGGGGATCCCCGGTAGACTCAAATCGGGGTTGGGTTCGAGGCCAGGTAGCGCATCCCCCGCCACGCCCCGTACCTGGTGTATAATTTTATTTATATATCTTATATAATATATGTATGTATATTATTTATTTTCTAAAATTGAGTCTTCATCGAAGGCGAGGATCGGGGTTTGATCAAAAAAATAAAACCGGATATGAGATATTAATCCCTTTACCCGTCGGGGACTAGGGTAGGGGCCAGGGGTTGTTCATAGAATCCGGGGCTGGGGATTAGAAAACTCACTCCATCCTCACTCTGTTGCCATGTATATCCATGGTTGAACCACCCCCATCACCTCGAACAGTTAATGAGATGATTTTCGAAAATCGTAGTCGTCATATTGATTTGATATGGTGGTTATGACATTGGTAAAACCATGAGTGAAAAGTAATGTTCATGTAATAAAACACAAATATTTATGTAGATAAGGAACTTAATATATACAGTCGATACAACTAATTGTGTATATTTATTTATATATGAAAATGCAAATATTATACACGTGTGTGTACGGTCAGATTCATATGAGAACATCCATTTTCGTGAAACCTATAAGATCGCATCTTAGCCATTGGATCTGTCAAATCTTTGTATTTGTGTTTGCTTGTTTATTTATGAAAATTAGAATAGATAAAAATAAATTAATATTTACTAACAAATTCTTGTTATATTGCAGTTGTCTTTATCTTCTAAATGTTGTTAGTATCATGGAAGTCTTCTCATGTTGATGCCTCTGTTGTCGATAATGACGTTTTGAGGTCCAAAAATGTTTTCGCATTTTCGTAAAACAGAGATGTTCTCGTTTAAACCCTCTTTGTATATATAAACACTAAACAATATACATTTATGATAAAAGAGAAAGCAGAGGAACACATTGTCATCATCAAATAAAGACAGTACAAATGTACTGGTAAGGCGACATTTATTAAGTTCATTTTAAAAGAGGCACCAAGACACAATACTTTATTACAAACGGGGAAAAAAAATACCATAGACATGTTACTAGTAAAACAATTGTAAAGACGAACAAAATGTGGGTTCGATGGTGAAGAGACGAGTTTTTTAAGCACAATTTGAACCTAAGACACGAGCTTGGACTTGCAGGCAACAAATAACAAAGGAGAGAATTAGGGTTTGATCATGAGGGTGTGAACTGTGAAGTCTGAAGCGACATTTTAAGAAAAAATTTGTTTGTGGTATTTCTTTGTTTTTTAGCCTACATTGCATTGAAACCCAAAAACAATTATAACAGTGCAAATTGAAACCCAAATCACATTCATTTAGTGGTTATTAGTTGCGCCATTTGTGGAACGACTAAATGTGGTTATTATCCTAGCACAGTCCACCGAACCGTAATAGTACCACTACAGTGACACGATAAAGTGCATAGCTACTACCATTCACAACCACTATAACCCAACACAACAAGCATATGCAAAAACACAAACAAATGAATCACAGACGAAAGAGGCTAGCAGACGTTAATGCTAGGGACCAAAACCAAGCAAAAATTCATACAATGAGGTTAATTTTTGTAAAAAATGAATTATAGGGACTAAAATCGATAAAATCAAAAAACTACAGGGACCAAGTCCATAATTTAATTTTTTTCAACGTGAAAATGAAATGGAATATTCGGGCTTCCATGGAGGATCTGAACATTTACGGGTTGGGCCGTTGGGCTGTTAATTTACAACCAGCCTTATTATGGGCCCACTATAAAATGGCTCAATGTTTCAAAATAAAAGAAGAAACTAATTACAACAATAGTCCTTAGGGTTAGGTTCATGTGAGACCAATTTGTTTTCATGAGATTCGTGAGATCATTTTTTACACTTGAAGTTTCACGAAAAAATGTTGTGAAGGTAAAAAGAAGTCGAACCTTCACCACAAAAAAACTGTGAATGTTACATTCACAGCGTTTTGTTGTGAAGTATCAAGTGTAAAAATGTGTCATCACAAGTCTTATAAAAACATATTGGTCTCACATGATCCCGAGTCATAGTTCCTAAGTTTATCTTAAATATATGAACAAGGATAAAAGTCTATTTTTTTAGTTTCATGGGATTTACAAGTTGTTTGGTCAGTTGTATATAATAATTTGGTAGTGGTTCGATAATACAGAAAGTGGCTTATTCAGTAAACTTCTATAAAAAATTTTATGCAGAAAGACAAGTTTAATCCAAACATGCAACTTGCGGTTAAATAACATGAACAAGCTCATTGCATGTATGAAAAACCCTTCAAAACATATTTAGTTATTTATTTTACAGTTTCAGTCATTTTTTTGAATTTTTTAAGGGAAGTCTATTAAAATTTCAAAATAGATTTATCTAAACCTAAACCAACGACAAAGCTAAGGATTTCTTTTTTGCAGATTCTATGGTTGAAACGGAGAAATATATCAAGTTTGCTCCTAGAAACACATCGGTTATGGTTGTGGTCAATTTTATTTACAGATTTTATGGTTGTTTGCTAATTGCTTATTGGTTGTAACTTATCTTCCAGGTGAATATGACAAAGACCTATAATCTTAACCCTAAGAGGCATAACAGAGACCGATAATCTTACCTGGTAAATGAAGAAGAAGACTCTTACCCCGTAAATACTTATCAGATAAAATACGTTTACCAATAATTCATTTTAATACCCGAAAATGTTACTCGATAATGTAAGTGAGGGTGGTGTTATTGTCGGTAAACTTTGGTGGTCCCTTAGAAATACATTAACCCACGGCCATGAATTTTTATAACCATACAATAAGATTGATTAATAATCAATATCCATCGATAAAAGAGGCTGAAAACTTGAAAATTGCAATCAATTTCACAACTATGTTACAAGAAATGGTTTCTTAATATCGTTATAACTTCTAAATTTGGAAATTGGTTTTTTAACATCTGTTACTTAAAAAGGCTTGCACTTTTTTAATGCTATTTTTTATGGTTATGTCGGCGATGATAAGTGGATCTGACAATTGGTTTGTTCTTGTTCTGATTCTGATAGGTGCGCCTAACATGACATTTCCAAATTCATTTTATGCAGTTTCCCTGATCAAACTAGTTGGAAGTGGCATTAATTATTGTGTCACTTTTAACTGATTTCTTTTTGTTAGTTCTTTAATATTAAAATGACAGTCATCGTTTTGTAAGGACTTTAATTAGCAGTTTATTAATGTTTCGAATTTATAAACTAAGTTCATTTATGAACATAAATAAAAAGAGTGAATTACATCTATCGTCTGTTTTTTTAACCGTTTTTGTCGCTTTTTTGAAAATTCAACCGATCGCGCTTACTTGGTTGTGTTTTTACAAGGAGTTGGGTCCTTAATGCAATCACAGGGACCCGAGTTGTTGATTTATTTAGGGATCGAACTCATTAGAATCTGTAACCATAAGATTCCAACTCACTAAAAACTGCAACCACAAAAGCTTAACTCATTAAAAATCTCAATCACATGGATGCAACTCGTTAAAAACGTAACCACAAAGACATATTTCGTTGAATTTTCAAAAAAATAAACAAAAATCATTAAAAACAGTTGACAACAAGGACAAAAACATATAATTTACTCTAAATAAAATATAAAGTCAATACACATACCAATTCTAATACATCACGACACATATGTTTATGAAACTTGGCTTCCAAGGAAAAGATTCACATCATCAACCTTGGGCTGCAAGCAGAACCCCTTGTTATTTGAAAATTTGAACAAAATAACAAATGGGGAAAATGCGTGAAATAATAATCTATTTTACAAAAAAATTTATTATAATATTTTACTTTCAGTTTTTCTTATTACAATAATGTATTTTTAAAATGTTTTTTATAAGTGTATCGTATTTTTAAAAATTTACCTGTTATAGCATTGAGTAATCTTTTAAATATATTTTATCAATTATAACATGTTTTTTTGCCACCTCATCGTTCACGTAGGCTGTCCACATGTACGATAGTGCTGATATGACATTTCTTATTATAGCATTGTACTTTCAAAATTATTTTATTATATTATTATCAATTTCTATTGCAACATTGTATTAATATTTTTAGTAAACATATTTGATTAAATTTACAATGTTTAAATGATAAAATTA